CTTACCTCTCATTTACAGGCAATAATTAAATAGGACATTAAAGTGAAAACGAATGAAACTACTCAGTATGTATTGAAATACATTGCCACAACACATAAAGAACTAAGGCATACTGGGAAAGGGGAAAATAAATAGGCTTGTCTTGTTCTTTCTTATATTTATAGTTGTACTTTATGGTTTACAAAGCATTTTAACACATTACCTCTCTCAAGGTATGTAGCAACCTGTAAGACAAGTAGGAATTATCTATATTTTACGGAGAAAACTAGGCTTCAAGAAAGTTAACTAACCTGCCCCAAATTAAAGGCCCCATCGAAGACCTTACTATGAGCACATCCTGTGGCTTCCAGTATCGCTACATTAGCAGTTATGCTTTAGCAGTTTATTTATTTAGTGGTGGGGAGGTGGGGGAAGCAGCAGAATCCCTTTTACAAATGAAATTTTATATTGAACCTGAACTATAAAATATATAAGTATACAAAATGTTAATTTTTATAAGTGTTTTATTGATAAAGTTACTAATGAGTGTTTTCTCACAAGTAAAAATTTAACATTAATAAATGTGTACAGAATTCTTTTTAAAAAAGCCAGTCCCTCATAATCAATGACAATCTTTCTCATCAATGTCATATTAACAAAAAAGTTCAAAAAATATATATATATAATATATATGTTACATACATACATATATACATATATATATACATATATATATATAAAAAATGCAAGGCCTGCACAAGAATTACCTTGTAACAAAAAATAATTTTTTAAAATAATGTTAAAATTTGGGCCAGCCAAGTGGCTTAGTTGGTTAAGAGTTGGCTTAAGGGCATGAGCTCTGAGCAACAGGGCCTCTGGTTCGATTCCCACATGGGCCAGTGACGCTGCGCCCAAGCTGAGCTGTCGCTGAGCTGCCAACAGGTGGCAGGATGGCTCAACTGGTATAACAAAATTGCCTGCTCAATGGTGGGCTATGCTCAATGGTGGGCTATGCCCACTCGCAACTAAGACTAAACTTGGCACCTTGAGCAGAGCTGTCGCCCGGATGGCTCAGTGGATAGAGCATGCGCTCTTAACAACAAGGTTGCTGATTCGACTCCCACATGGGATGGTGGCTACGCCCACCCGCAACTAAGATTGAACACAGCACCTTGAGCTTAGAGGCCATGAGCTGCCGATGGGTAGCCAGATGGCGACTGGCGCCCTCCACAACTAAGATTGAAGAACAACAACTTGGCTGGTCCCCCTCCCCAATTCCCCAACACTGTTCTCCTTCCCCAATAAAATCTTTTCAAAAAATTTATAAATAAAATATTTTAAAAATAGTTAAAATTTGGTAAAACATATTTTCAGGTATCTATATTTTTAAATTATAATTTTAAATGTACTTAAAAATGTAATCCAACTCAAGCAGTTTTGAACACTAAAGCATTTTAGGACTCCATAAAAAGCAGTTTGAAGACCATTGCTTAATGGTTTGCTGTTATAAATTCACTGCTTAATATCTGCTTATTTCATTTAAGATAAAATGCAGTAAAGAAACTCCTTTTAACAATCAAAATTGTGTACCTAAGAAACCTGATTAACCAAGGCAGAAGAGGCCACTAATCCATAGTCAAAGCTATTCCATGCTATTGGTTGAACCATATAAAACTGTTAACTGACAATTTTGACTATAAAAAATGAGGTTCATATGGTTCAATCTAATATTTCCCATTTTATTTTCGCAGTCCCTTCATTTATAAACCATCAAAAAAGTGTCAAAGTAAGTGATTATATAAGTAAAGTGGAAAAGTGCAATAACCAACAAACATCTATCACTGGAACTAACCAAACATGAAGAATTTTAAATGTTAAATCCTTTAACTTATAGTGCAGAGCTTTATTCACTTCAGTAGCACTAACTGCTTAATACTCAAGGTACATTGAAATATGACACCTTTTATTTATTGAAAAATGAGTGGACTAACAGTTACCTACCTTTCTTAATGCAGTTTGGCACTCCACTTTAAAATTTATCTAGTTGTCCCTGAAATTTCTTCATGAAAAATGTATTACACATCAAAACTCATTAATTTTTCCAAAGTAAATAGAAGCATTTTCTCTTTTATTTAAAACTTTATTGAATTATTTCATTGATAAGAGATCAAGTTAGGTTCAGTAGGAGTTTTAGATTTGAGGACAGTTTTGTTTGTTTCCCTCTATGGCTTACCTTTCCATTTTTTTTACTGGCCTATGGTTATGGTTACCAAATTAGGTATAGTCATTATTTTAGGTATATTCAAATTAGTTATGTTCAATAAAATATTTTGAATATTTTATTCAATATTATACTCTTTATTTTGGAGGACACTAAATCAAAATTGTAATTCCCATACAATATACAATGCAATTTTCAGATACTGGGTTAAACCAAATTATTTCATGTGAAGGTGAATCCACTTCCTTTTGAAGATCCCCCAAATTCAACACATTGAAACAAATTAAGCCACTCTGAGAAAAAGGCATAATGTTACATATAAAGGTGACTCTTCCCCCATCAAATGAGGATTATAACAGCAAAGAGTAATTCACACTGGGTGTGCATGAATTTCATTCTTCCATTATGAACTACACTGAAAAAAATTCAAAATTCTATGACTCACTTGGTTATTACTGAACACTTTATTAAGTGGAAAACACAAGATAAATTCAGAGAATCACATTTTGAGAGTTGTTGATGAATTTTACTTAGAGTATAACTTTCAATCAAAAAGAAAACCATCTCTTTATTAGAAATAAACTCACATTCTGTTTTTAGAATGATGAAGAATTTAAAACACTAAACACTTGATATCTTTTAAGAGCACTTAAGAATAGATACTTTTAAAAAGCTAGAAATATTGCCAAGTCATGTCATAACTGGCTCAAACAGTCCCATTTCCATCTAAAGCCATTGCATGCTGCTGCATGAATCAATATTACATACCCCTTAGAGTTACTAAAAACTGTAATATTGGCAGAGGTATGCATAGCAATTATAAAATGTGAAAATAGTGAACATACATTTTCTACATACCTCTCTCTTTTATTAATGGCTAGAGATGAGGATGTTCTCTCTAGATAATTAGAAACAATTTCTTAAAAGCTAAGGGAAAGATATAAAGAATGCTAACAAAGTGTGATGAATCCATAGCCATGATTCTCTCAAAAGAAAAAATAGATTTTGAAATCTAATATCACCTCCAAACATTTTATTAGCCTACTAAATTGCCAGAGCCATTAAAAAAAAATCAAAATCAATATAGCTTTTTTCCCTCTTATTCAGTTAAAAAAACAACAAAAAAACAACTAGCTGTTATTTTAACCAGGCTTCAATTTAATCAAACATGTCTCAAACAACACTTTTTTCATGTTAAAGACATAACTTAAAACTTTTAAAGTTAGGAAATAATAACCATTTTTTAAAAAGCTTAGGTCAGATGACATCTGGCCCTGAAGTAAAAGAAAGGGTTAACATTCAACTAAGCTGATCTGCACTTCTGATCCATTGCATTTCTCACAAGCTGCCCTACAATGAGCTGAACAAGTATCAACTGTAATTTGATCCCAGAGTTTATGGGGGAAAAAATAACTGCACATACTCAACATGCACATTTAATAAAAATCTGTTTCAAGAAAAACATACCCAATAAACACAATTTAAGGCATATTTAATTGTTCGATTAACTTCAAGTCTGAAATCCCTTTGCTTTCTTCATGCTCTCAAGTAAAACAGAAAAAAAAAAAAAAAGCAGCAGCCCTACTGCAGGGAAAAGAGGCTTGAAAAACAACTTTGATTGGCACTTGGCCTGACCCACAGAGGAAGAAAAACAGTTTTTGGACAAAGAGCGCAAATATTTGAGCTTGCTTACTTACATGCTTTCTTTCTTTTTTTAATATATAAAGAACAACCCCTACTGAACTGTATTTAGGGAAATTGACTAAAAAACGGTGCCGTATTCACCTTAGTCCCTATGCATTTGCACAGCTCAGCAATTTTAATTCATTTGTATTGGACAAACAGAAGCACCTCAAGTAACGTTTCCACTTGACGAAACGTAAACATAGTGTTTGGGTAAGAATAAACTGATTAAAATATTATCCGGTGGTCACTATTAAAGTCCAATTAAAAGCTTTTCTCGGTCTAAAGCGACATCTTCTCATCCCCTCCCCCTCTTTTAACGGAGCGATTAAGCCAAGTGAGCTAAACAATACTGGAGTAAACTTTTATCAGTCACTCTAGGCAGCAATAAGCTGACTGTGTGTCTGATTTTTCTGGACCAACCGGGGAGGGGAGAGGGGGGTGCTAGGGAGTGATAACTCACTTCCACCTCAGTCTCCTTCTCCCCCAGCTCCAGCCTGAGCAACTGTAAGGTCGAATAGCATTTCCCATGGGCATAAAGTTCAAGCTGTTTTACCAGTTCCTTTCATGACTGAGTTATGGACACAAGACGACCATCAAAAGAATGTAAAAAGGGGGGTGTTAGGGGCGAGCGCGCAAGAAAGGCAGAAAGAAGCGAGTAAACAAAAACAACACCCGCAAGAGTTAGCCACAGCGAAGACGGAGCCCAGGTTCCTCAAGACCAGACCTGGCTGTTGTGATTGCACATCGACCTCCATCAACAGCACCGGGAGAAGGATTGAACAGGTCCCTCGCTCCCTCCGCCCGAGGAGCAGCCCGGGGTTCAAGGTAAGATGAGCCGAAAAACAAAACACTGGCACCATTCTACACCACCACCACCCCACACCCCGCCAAAAAAAAAAAAAATCTCCAGTCCCTCGGGACTAGCTTCTGTCCCGGCGGAAATAAAAAGCATAAGTAGTCTGAACCCTTCACCTTCAACCCACGCCCCCTTTCTCGGTCTCGGCGTAGGGAAGGTGCCCCGCGGTCCCTTTGAGCTGCGCCCCAGGGCCGAGCAGCCTGAGCCCGGCCCGCAGGAAGCGCCCCTCTCGAGCCGGACCCCAGGCCGAGCCCGTACCTTCTGCAACACTTTCCGGCAGTTGGTACAGAGCAGGTAGTTGGCGGCGGCCGACGGGCTGCTGCCGCCTCGGTTCATCGTGGCTGCGGACACCGAGGGCGGGCGTCGGGCCGGGGCCGGGGCCGGGCTGTCACTGCGGCCGCCCGCGCCGCTGCGGAGCCGGACCGTCCCTGCGCCGCCGGCTGCGCTTCAGCCTCCCACTCCCGGCGGGATGTCAGGATAGGAGGCGCCGGCCCGAGAGCAAGCGGAGCTGTCCGAGGCGACCACCGCGGCGGCTACCGAAGCGACGGCGGAGACGGCGGCGGCTGCTCCTCACCGGCCCGTTGTTCCACCCGCCCCCATTCTCCAGACCCCCGCCCCCGCCAGGCTAGGACGAGCAGCCGCCACCGCTGCCTCCGCCGCCGCCACCGCCGCAGCGCCTCAGTGCGGCCCCGCCCCCGCCTCTCCACCACCTTCACCACCTTCACGCTCCGGGACCGCCCCCTCCCGCCAATCGGACAGCTCCGGCCACGCCCCCGGGCCTCTAGCTAGCCGCCAATGAGCAACTAGAGCTGGGTTGGGAGCTGGGCCCGCCAATCACAGAGGCCGAGGACGCCTTGAATCTCCGGGCAAGTTAAGTTTATCTCCGAGGCTCGGAACTGAAGGGATATGGCGGGTTAGGTAGTGGGGTGGGAGGGAATACAGTTTGTGCTGCTCCGCCAATAGAAGGAAGAGGGCGTGTCATATACAAATCTTCTCTGGAAGCCCAGCCCCGCCCCTAAGGCAAGCCACGCCCCCTCCTCTAGGTCCCTGCAGAAATGGTGAAGGAGTGAGATAAATAGCTGGGAGCTAGAGCTCACTGGTGGTTCTAAGACTGAGCTAAATATTTCCTGATTTCTTGAGAAAGGTTGGGGAGGTGGCGGGAGGGGGTGGAGTGGGATGAGAAGCTAAAAGGCTGTTACCCTCACAGCAGTGGTTAGGCTTTCTCAACCCGATTCTTAGCTTAGCTGTAAAGAAGACTGCAGTCACGTATCATTTTGCATCCAAGAGATCTCTAAGAACTTTGCATCAATTATCGTGAAACTCTTTTTGTAAAAGATCAGTTACCTGAGGCTTGGGCGGAGAGTGGGGGATAGATTTACACCATTAATCGAGTTATGGGGGAAAAGACACAAAATCTCTGGTTTCGCGGTTTGCTCTCCATCTGAAGCCCCTTTTCGCAGTCCTCTCAGTCATGAAAGTTCCTTTATTTGTCCAGCAGTAAAGAGCCAGACAGGTTTGCTTTCTCACCCAAAAATCCTTTCTGAGGCAGCTCGTCAGACACACACAAAGTACACAACACTGCTTGGGAAGTAAGGTTCAGAGAACATAATGCCTTTTAAAACTGTTGGGCTGGACCGGCCTCTTCCAAACCTAAAAAATGGTGAGTCAGGATTTTTGTTCACAGTCTGGGGAGAGAGGACAGATATAATTGGGAAAAGCTCTGGCTGGCAGCGTGTGAGGGGGACAAGGCCACAGGGGGAGCCAGGTTTCCCAAAGGGGCCAGCAACGCGCGTGCGGATCGAATGCGGGTTCCCGGCGCCAGACGCCGCGGAACCTGCTCCGCAGTGAGAACAAAGGCAGGCGCCGAGCGAGAACCTGATTGATGCCGGGTCCTCACCGGTGTTCTCGGGGCCCGGGAGATAACTTGCTTCACCCACTGTCGCGGAGCCCTTCGCTGACAGGAGCCCCAGCTCCCTGCCCGGCCTTGGCTGTGACCATACAGGACTGTGCGTTATGACATCACCTGTTTTCGCTCTTTAGAACAAGATCAGTATTCTCGGCTTCTCATTTTTTAAAGGTCTCCGATGTACGAAGACTTGTGAAGGCCTGCATTTCGCAGAATGAATCCGTGGAGATGATTTAAAAGAGCGGTTTCACTGGTTTGCATTTCTTTCTTTCCTTTTTAATTTGAAAAACGACCCTGGTGTCCTTTGGGATTCAGTGTGGTGTTGTGATGCAAAATCAGAAAGGTACACTGGGAGGAGCTAGCAAGTTTAGCATATCAAAGCTATTAGACCAAATTGTGTGATTAAAACTGTCAATCTCCGTATTTTTCCGCAGCTGCCTCCTCTCTTTCCCTTTTAGAGACCAAAAGGCATAAACCAAGTCTACACGAGGAACAAAGGAAATGGAAATCTGCCAGTGTCGGGTTTAAATAGATTAAAATAGACTGGAAAACCCCCAAAGGGTCTAAGTTATGTGGTTGGGTAAATGTGTTGATCCGTTAAACTAGTGATAGTTAAAGGTCGCTTAATTTTGTGTGGACATATATAGCCCAGAATAGCAATGGTGTGGAGAAGGAGCTTAACATTCAGATAGGAGAAACTGTAAAAGCAAGAAGAAAGTTCAGCAAAGGGAGAGATTGCCACATGCTTTTAAATGTAAAGAACCAAGAAATTCAGGAAGAAAGTTAGCAAGGCATAGTTTTCCTAGAACTGAAACACGTTATGTGTCTCCATTTAGTGGTAAATTTCTTGGGCTACATTCCTAGCTGGTTCTATCTTGTAAAGCAGCTTTTATGTGACTTCATTTTAAAGGAAAGAAGAAATTGAAGAATGAAGTGAATTTTTGTGCAGAGATGGAATTTTCTCAAATAGTATTTTAACCTCAAATTGTTTTCTGTTATATTCTTTTTATAACCTTTCCTTTTACTTAATAGCTAAAATCCTTTAGCAGTGAGGCCCTTTACATTCTTCAATAACTAAATTTCCCAGAAAGAATGGCCAAGAGAATCCACCCTACACAATTATACCCTCTAAAAAAGATTGCTGAAGGGAGATTTTAGAGGAATATTTTCATTGATACATGGTCAGATACATGTATGTAACCTAATGATGGCTCTCCACCAAAGTCCTCCACGTTTTTGTAACATTGTCTATAATGTCATTTATTTGGCAGTTAACTATCTATTGCATTGAGACATTTCTTATATTGAACTGTTATATATGTTTTTATGACCTATCCCTGATGTCTTCAATCCAGTAACTCATCCTCAATACACAGCAACTACCCTTTCTTCTGGTTCTTACACCCTCAACTCCTAACATACTTTTCCTCTACTCTCATGGTAATTCTCAGCATCTGGAACCTTTTGTTCTCTTCCATTCCTCACCTGACCAGCCTGGATATCATCAAAAGAATGGGACTCAGAGAATAAGTGACCTGCAAATCGTAGATCACACTTATTGAACAAACTCAAAAAGAGCCTGGAGGCTTTGCTAGAAATAAATAACAAAGATTTGTTCAAAGGTCTTAGGGTTTGCAAACTGGAAACACAGCTAGGCAATACCTAGAGTTTTCCAAAGAAGAAAAGCTGAGGGTTCTTATAGTAAAAAGGCCATTCTTGAGAAGAATCGATCCTGCAATCTTAGCCTCTGGATTGGTGCAAGATGGTAGTCCTGTAGATGTCCAGTGTTCTGGATGACCGGTGTTCTGGATACTGGACATCACGTGATCTGGATACATGAACGTTTTTTTCTTAGACCTGCAGAAGGTAATTAGAGGATTACCTGGAGGTTTGATGTATACCCAAGCATTGATGCAGGACTAGAAAGTTAAAAAAAGTTCAAGTTCTCAGGCTAGTTAGAATAGAATTGTTTCTTCATACTTCAACCTACTTGATTTTACTAATTTACCAGTTTGACTACAGTGACTTCATTTTATTTCTTCAACTATTCCTCATTTCCCCCTTTTGATTAGGATTTTTCTTTCAGAAAACACCATAGATCAAACAAAACAGTTTAAAGTCCCTTGATGCCAAAGTGGCAATGCCTCCCTGTGTCCATCATGTCCCCTAGAGAGGGGAAATGGATTAGAGACATGCTTGCTATATATGAATTTTTAGTCAGTTCAATTTTTGTAACAATTTTCAGGCTGAAGCATTAGGAAAAGACCAATGAAAACATTATTGTTATATATCAGTTTTAGAAACCAGCCTCAGTCTTGAGAATAAGTCAGTTCAAACAAATGGTTGTCTCTCATCTCAGGAGATGATGATGCAGGTGGCTCCCACAGTTAGGCCTAAGGTGCAAGCAATCAGGTATTTAATAAGAGGCATCTCTATGGGAACAACAACAAACACCCCCCCCCAATGTTTAATGATTGAATCAGACTATAATTCCAGTTTCTGAGTTCTGAAGGCAGCCAGTTGAGAAGATTTCTAGATGTTTGGCTTGAAGCATCTTCCAATGGAGTGAAGGTAGGCAGTGACAATCTGACAGATTCTCCTGGTTTACAGTTCCTGGTGATTTTTCTGCAACAGTTACAAATATTGTCTATATATGAGCTGTTGTGGTTTCTATCATGTTGTCCAGTTTAGCTTGCATGGCTTTGGGAAAAGGGCAGTTTCAGTTCTCAATGGTTACAAGTCAGAAGAGTGAGAGAAAAATTGGACACATTAGTTTGGAGAGTCAGCCAGCTATTGGGGGAAACTAGAATAATTCAGGATCTAGTCCAGTTTATAGGTAGGAGCAAAGCCTAAAGAGATAACAAGCAGCACTAGAGTCTAATATCCACAAAGATAAATTAGTGAATCATAATTTTTCTCCCTAAAATCACCCTAATTGTTGACAAAGATAGCCAAATTGAGACTAATTTGTTTGCAAAGTAGGCCTGGTTTCAGTAAACTTAGCCTGTTGTTTAAATTGGAGCAGCAAAAATAGTAATTAACCTATGGCTCTATTAAATCTGCTTTGCTGGAATTTTTCATAAGGGATCTTCAGATTGAATTTTAAAAGGCCTCTTGAAGCCAGAAAAGCCAATGGCAAGGATTTGCCATCACACCTTGGCCTGCAATATCTATAGATTTGGGTGAGTTCCTCTCTTTTTGAGGTCCCCAAAATATCTTGAGGTTCCTGCATCTGCCAGGAAGTGACCTACATTACCCACCTGCTAAGGCTGCTGGGAACCTGTAAACAAGGTCCCAGGCTGATATTTCCAAGTGTCTTATTGGCTTCCATAAGACAATTTTAGTTCCTTAAAGCTGTCTGGTCATATCCGAGTCTATGTGTGTCTTTTTTCAAATATGACATTCTAGTTAAAGCCTTGGTAATATAACCAGTTTCCAATTATGTCTTATTACAGAACAGATTCTTACTGAATTTATGAAAATAAAAATATTGTCATAAAAATAATAATACTGAGAATTTCTGGGTTCTGGAGGTATTAAATAGGGAGAAAAAAAATAAATATTTCAATTCTGCTCACAAAGGTGCAATTTACCAAATTTCTCTAAGTCATAGGTAGCTGAAGAGAAAAGGCTTTCCTTGTAGCTGGAAAACAGAAGATTAAAGAACCAGTAATATTTCAAACAAAAAGCCATAAAAA